GCTGAACCGTACAGCTGAAGCGCTGCTCCTCTCTTTTTCTTACAGTTCATTTCTTCTGGAAGAAATGGTCATAATTGAGGATAGTGCTTCTTAGGTTTCATTTGTTAATTTTAATTTCCTGAGGAAATTTATTTCATCACTGAAGGAAATTATCTTATTATTTTGTTCAAATAATAAAAAAGGCCAAAGATGATACGTGGTAATGGTTTTATGTTATTTTTGTGCTGGCATTAGAAAGGTAACTGAATGCTTACTTAGAGTAAAGGTCAGCTTTTCTTATAATTTGTGAGCTCTCTTCCCCTAATGAAAATTGACACATTCTTTTCCACCTTTGGTGGAATGATTCATCTGGCTGGGCCCTCAGAGTCACACTCTGGTTCCTGATATTGGCATGCATCTCTGGATCAGAGCACCCCCTCCTTCCATCGATATGATGCTGAGGGACTGGGGTCTCCTTCTCTGGGGTCCATGTCTGGGGATGGGGAAGAAGGGTTGAGGGAAAGGGGAGCCTTATGCCTTGGGACAGAGGGTGGTGGTGATGTTGCCTCAGCCTCCGCTGGGGTTGTGCCATAGAAGTGGTGGTGGGTGATTCTCACCATGGCGGGGTGGAAGAAGGGGAACTTCAGAAAGCTCCTGGGGGCTGGGGCCCAGTGGTAGTGACTCCTCAGTGAATCTTGGTTGGGGCTGGGATTTCATTCAAATTTTCCCTTATGTTACTGTTAATTTGTCAACTTGTCTTCCTTTCCCCATTATAAGAGAAGGTCTGTGGGGTCCTGGCCTGTGTCTTGGGCATCTCTGCCTACCCCACAGGGTGCAGTGTTTTGTACACAGTAGATGCTCACACACAGTAATGGAACACAGACTCTGTTCACTTGTCACCTTTGACATCCATGCTGCACAATGAAATGTCTTCTCCCAAAGAAGTCAGGATTTTCTAGTCTGAAATAATCACAGTTGACAAAGAAGATACTTAGGAGATCCTGAGAATATGACACATTTCAGGAGTGAGCAGTGAGCAAGATGCAGACTTCTACTGAGGGTCTTCTCCCTTTATGCAACTTTTATTGTCCACTTCTCTTTTCTTCCCTCCATGTCATTAGACTTAGGTTGCACGTCTTCATTGCTGTGTAGTTGGTGCTCAATAGATACATACTGAGCTAGTTCATTTCTGATGTGATGTTATTTATTCTCTTCAGGCTCTTTACATACTCATGCAGGTATAGGTGGTGAGGCTGAAGTTGTAAGCTCAAAGATTTTGACGTTCTTTCTCCATCCTTCCCTTCTTTCCTTTATCCATTATTGAACATTGGTTATATGCCAGGCATTGGATTAAGTTCACAAAAAAGATAACTGTCTGATTTCAAATATATTGCAGTCTAGTGGAGAGGTAAAAGGAAATAGTGGCCACATGGTATGAGGTGTGGGCAGCTGGTGAAAACCTCTCTTTGACCTGTGGGCAGGACCTCCTTGAGGCCTTTGCCGCTGAACTCCTGAATGTGGTCAGGAGTAAGTAGGGCAGCTATGCAGTTGTGGATGAATTAACAGGTTCTGCACTTGCCTTTCTCCATTTCTGCAGGATGGAGATGTCTGCCCAGAGGTTGATTTCTAACAGAACTTCCCAGCAATCTGCGTCTAATTCTGATTACACCTGGGAATATGAGTATTATGAGATTGGACCAGTTTCCTTTGAAGGACTGAAGGCTCATAAATGTAAGTCTTATACAATTCCCCAGTTGTACTTGTAAGCATAATATGTATTTGTCTTAGCCTGTGAAATCCCCAGTGATTACTTCTGAACATTCTATCTTCTTGGACAGAACTGTCCTCTACCTCCAAAACCCCACAAAACACCCCCTCCACACGTAAGCTGATTGCTCAGGGATGGTAATTCTCATTGATGAAGGACTTAAAAGATTCCCTCAGTGGGGAAACGTGAATTAGTATCAATCTTAGATTGAGATTTTTAAAAATGCGTTAACCTTTCCAGCTCCCCCAAACTGTAAGTGCTTGAGCTATTGAAAATATGTACAAAAACAGAATCTGGAGCTATTATTAGAAGAACCATTTTTTGTAGCACATAGTCAGCAGCATCCTTTTAACACAATTGATTTTCCAGAACTGTGGAGAACAGTCTGTGTGTGTTCATAATGATGGACAAGAATAGCCTGTGATCCTCCCTAACTCCGTGTTATAGGCATGAATTGTGTTCTATGTTATTGGAGTGATTAATGATCCAGCACAGGGCAAGGAAATGTCTTTCTGTGAAAGGTTACCTTTCAACTCCAGTCATAACTGAATGCTGACTGGCCAGCATGAAGCATCCTTGTTTCATTAAGTAGAGTTGACATAATAGGCAGGAATTGCTGCCCAGTGCCAGGTCCTGTCTTGGTTACCCTATAAATATCCCTGAAATGTTCAATTGTTTTAGAGTGAATATCCATAGCACTGTAAAATTTTTACGTTTTTGACTGCTCCTGATTAATGGGACACATTAGGAAATGTAAGAGAGGTTAGAATCAGAGATGCAGATGTGGCAAAGGAAATGCTTTTGTTCCTTGAGTTCCTTCCTGGCTGCCTCCACTCCAACCTGCCTTGGCATACAGGAGCCCTGCCTGCACCCATCTGCTGCTCCTTTGCAAGGAGGGCTTTCTATTTTTGCTTCTGAAGCATTAACTAAACTACATATCTTTTACTCCTGAAGTGAATAGAAATAATTAAATGCTTTCACTCATTCCTTTATTGATGCCTGCTCAGTAGTTCTTTGTGGGGAAAAAAAATCACATGGAATCCATTAGGGTATGCTGTCATTGATTATCCTGTGGAAGGCTGTAAATGTCAGGGGGTGGAATCACCCTCCTTAATTTACCTAAGTTCTTTAATCTGTTGCATTTCTCAGGTAACCTTTAGGTAAGGACACTTCCTTGTTATGAGTTATAGAGGATGCCCAGAATGACTGGGCAAATTGCCATATATTTCCCTGTAACATAGGCTTTAACATCTTGGTGACATCAACTTTTATTTTTGTGTCACTTTGCTTCTGTTTTACTTCATTTAGGGGCACAGAAGACAGGCATGGTGCTATAATTTTGGTACATTTCCAGAGACAATTGAGGAAAATCTTTTTGGAACATATTACATTCAAGAAATAATTATAGCTGGAAAAAATTCCTGCAAAACCTAGGTAGAGATGTAACACATTATGTAACACTTACTGTAACTACTATACCATTAATAAGAATTGCTTTTGTTAGTTTTAACATTCACGTCATGAAAAAAGAAAAATGCCCTAGTGAGGACTTCACTGTTCTGATGTAAGAGATCTGAGTAGAGGCCCTTCCCTTCAAGAACCTGACAATATATAAGACACACAGAGAAGAAGAAAAAACAAACAAAAAAACCCCCAGATATACAGGGAAATGAAAAGATTGTCAGTTATTGTAATATGTACATTGGTACATTCTGTAACATTTTAAAATGCTGTGATTCTGACCTTCAAGTGTGATTCCTTGTTTTGCTGAGCAAAATCCAAAGTCAATTAGGTGGAGGTTCAAAAGGACAGAAGCGAGACATTTCAAGGGGCAGCATTTATTGAGGAGAGGAGTGACTATATGAGTTATCTCCATTTGTTTTACCTGTAACAGATCATACCTCACAACAATAGCTACATCTCTAGTTAGTCTAAGTTCCTCTGCTTGCTGAAAATAGATTCCTACATTCAGAGGGTCTTTCATCTGAGAAACAACCTCTGGTGGTCAATGCAAATTCTCCTTTTATCCTTCTGTCATGTATCAGAAGTGGACATATATCTGATAAACATTTGGCACCAGCAGAGTGGAAGTTCATCCATCCACTCATTCATTCATTCAACATATATTTATTGAGCACCTATGTGCAGCACTATTTTAAGCACTGGAGATACAACAGTGAACCAAGAAGACAAAAATACCTCCTCTATCAAGCTTGCACTCTAGTGGGAGAGACAGACAATAAATAAGTTAAATATACAAGCTGTGTCAGATGGCAATTTAAAAAAGGACAAATAGAATGAGGAAAGGAGATGTGGAGTATAGTGGTAAAAGTATAGATAAAGTGGCCATGGAGGGCCTTACTGAGGAGAGATTTGAGAAAAGACCTGAAGAAGGTGTGAGATTGAGCTATAAAATATCTGGGGGAAGAACATTCTAGAAAAGGGTCCAAGGCAAGCTTGAATTAGAACATGCAAGAAACAGTAGGGAGGCCAGCATGATGCCAAGGGGGATGAATGAGAGGCACAGCAGCAGGAGACGGGGTCAGAGAGGTCGTGGGAACCAGGGCATGTGGGCCTTAGAGGTTATACTAAGACTCTGGTTATTTCTCTGAGAAGTCATTGGAGGGTTTGAAGCAGAGGAGTGGCATCTGGCTTAGATTGCAATAGGATCCCTCTGCAACTGGGGAATGAAAGGGATGAGTTTAGAAACAGACACCCATCAGGAGGCTATCGCCAAGTCCAGGTAGCTGCTGATGGTGGCTTGACCAGGGCAGGGGCCGTGAAGTGGTGAGAAGTGCATAAATTCTGGATATTTTAAAAAAGGTAGATCTGACAAGATTTGTCAATGGATTGGCAATGGGGTGTAAGAGAAAGAGAAGAGTGAAGGATAATCTGAAAATTTGTGACCTGAGTAGCTGATAGAATGGAATTGTCATTAATTGAGATGGAGAAGAGTACGGGAGAAGCAGGATTCAGAGAGGAACATCAGGAGCTCAGTTTTGCACCGTGTTCTATCAGACGTCCAGGGGGAGAGGGTGCTGGGTGAAATGTAGATTTGAGCATCGTCAGCATGTAAGTGGTGTTCAAAGCCAAGAGGCAGATGGGTGTAGAGAGTAAATGGAAGAAGTCCAGAGCTGAGCCCTGGGGCATGCTAGCATTTAGAAGGTGGGGGATTGAGTAGGAAGTAGCAAAGGAGCCTGAGAGGAATGTACAGAAAGGTAGAAAGAAAACTGGGCAATTGTGGTTTCCTGGAAACCAACTGAAAAAGGGTTTCAAGCCTGATCTGTATCAAATGCTGCTGTTAGGTCAAGGTAGTTGAGGACTGAGCCATGACCACTGGATTTACAATTGGGAGAAGCAGGTTTCAGAGAGGAACATCAGGAGCTCAGTTTTGCACCTTGTTCTATCAGACGTCCAGGGGGAGAGGGTGCTGGGTGAAATGTAGATTTGAGCATCTTCAGCATGTAAGTGGTGTTCAAAGCCAAGAGGCAGATGGGTGTAGAGAGTAAATGGAAGAA